AAGAAAAGAAAAGAAAAGAAAAGAAAAGAAAAGAAAAGAAAAGAAAAGAAAAGGGATGTTGGGTCAGCCCTGCTTGCATAGCTGTGCCTGTAGCAAACTGCCCACCACGCAAAGCGGGCACACCTCCCGTCGGTACCTGGCTGGCGGTGCCCCGAAGCGCTCTAAGCTGAAAAGTACCGGGCACCTGGCAGATCTTGGCGCCTTTTCCCCCTTCGGTCGGGATGAACTCTGCCGCGACAGCGGGGAGGAGGAGAGCCTCCTCGACCCAAACACACCAGGGTCCAGTTCAACCCAGGGCAAAACCACACGCCGTCGGTCTGTCTTACCATCCAGCCGCAAGCATCGCCCGCTGGTCCTTTCCTGCCGCCGCCGCTACTGGTCCCTCCTGCGGACACGGCCAGGCGCGGGCCATCGAGGCAGGCCGTGAGCGAGAAGAAGAAGGAGCAGAACTTGAGCCAGGGTGCCATGGCCTGTCTGGCAGCGTCCGAAGTGCGAAGTCGCAGCTCCAGCAGCAACTCCAGGTTGGGGAAAACCAGGAGGGGAGGGAGAAACGAGCGGCACGCATGCGCGACGGAGCCTCCACCGAGACATTTGTCCAGGCAACTCCTGCTTCCTTCTCGCCCACCCACCCGCTACCTTGCGGACGGGGGAGGAGGGAGGGGCTGGACCACCATTACCATTTGTCTAGGTGCAGGAGAGGTCAACTGGTACTCCCCTTCTAGGACGTCTGAAACGCTGTTCGGTCTGCGCAGAACGTCTTCAAAGGAAGACCTCAGGAGAAAAAATGCTCAACTATCATCTCTCTCTCAGAAAGGAAGTTAAAGGAAGGGGAGGTGGGGATCTACTCTGTTCAGAAGTGCAGACGTTTATACAAATCTGGGGCAAGAAGTAACAAAAGTTAGCCTTTGTTGGGTGGGGGAGAGACTTCATTTGAAAAATTAGGAGGCTTCCTCCTAAAGCTAATTTCATGTCAGCACAGGGTTTACTCCTAAGCTTTAGTGCTTTCTGGTGCTAATTTATAAATAGCCTGCTACACTGCAGCAAAGCCTTTTTAAAACATGGGCATAACTTTGCAAATTCTGGTTCACCCTTCCTCAACTTGATACTTTCCTGATGTGGCTTCCCAGTGATAGAAGTCATAGAGAAACACATCTGGAAGACTGAGCTATGGGATGGGCCCTAGTTGTACATACAAGTCAAAAGGAGACCAGATGCAACTGCTGTAAATAGTCCCTTGTAAATGTAAAGCTATCTTCTTCAGTTTGGAACCCTTAAAATGTGTTTTACAATTCCTATTATCCAAACTCATTGCATAGATAGAAATAGCATTAAGCTTATCTGGGATGCGATGCTGGGGGGAGGGGGGAATGCTGCTTCCCTGGCTGTTATAATCCATTTATTTTAGTCTGTCTTTGGCAGAGACTTCATTTACATCTTTCCAGCCCACCCCTCCCAAACAAATCTGGCATGCAGTGGAAAATGTATTTTGGTGTTATTTCACTATAAACCATCCTCGCAAATAAAATTAATGCAGGTCTTATCCTCCTTACCAGCTCATGCTTGGTGCAAGGCATCTGTGGCATGTGAATGGCTTGAAAGAAAAGAACCGAGTCCCTTTGGGTGCGCAACATGTCCCTTGTCTGCAGTCCAGCTCTCTGCAGTGTTATGTGTGCCCAAGCTGAATGAAATAGATAAGTTTTTAGGAAGGTTTAAATTTACATAGTACCAGCTTGTTACTTTTCACGGATAACTGAGTTAGTGATTGTATAAACACTTTAAAAAAGCCAACAATCTTCTCAGGTACAATACTAGGATATATGATGGACTATGTAGTAAGAGAATTAGTTAGGAAGGGCCAAATAGATTTGGGCTTGCTTTTTTCCCCCTTGTCCTCCTTTTTAAATACAAAAACTCTAACAAGAATGGGATATATAACTAAGCACCATCCCTATCCCATATGTGTTTTTGGGTAGAAATACTTAAGCATAAATCTCTACCATGTGGATGTTTCCGTACAAATCACTGAAGGGAGGGATCAGTCCAATAACTTTCAGTTCCAATCCATTTGAAACTGTGGACAAAGATAGAGGGGTTTTATACATGCTTACCCACCACAACATACTGAGTAGAACTTTCCCTTGATAAACAGAATTTTGGAACATGTTGAGAAGCACACTAATTTGTGTCAAATAAAAAAGGATTTATTTGCAAACAGAACATACCTGCTTTTAGCTAAGTTTGTTCAGTGCAGCTTTCTCTATTGAATCTGAGTTAATGTTAAATAACACAATTCAGGGTGAGAAATGGAAAGATTCCTTTGACTCCTTTCCCTGATTTCAGCAGATTGGCAGATTCAAGCTGGAGCAGGTAGCCTCAGAGGTAACCAGGCCCTGAGCCATGCAAGACATTAAAGGTGACAACCAGCACCTAAAATTGCACCTGGAAGTTAACTGGCAGCCAAGGGAGCATTGGCAGAAATGGAGCAAACTTAGTCAATGTGAGCAGACCTGGGTTGCTGCACACTGAACCAACTGAAACTTCTGAATGCCTTTCAAGGGAGTCCCAAGTAAAGAAAATTGCAGTAGTCCAGAGTGACAAGGGCAAAAGATACTGTGAGCAGTTGTGATATTACTTGGCAAAGACAGATAAGACCTTACTAAACATTTGTCAGTTGGAAGAATCTGAAGACCCTGAGTCTGCTGGATATTTCTTACTAAGTTCTTAGAATTCAAGAAGCATCAGAGAAAGCTGTATTTATTTAGCTGTTGTGTTTATATCTCAATCCCCTACTCATGAATTGAAAGAAGACTGCTTGGTTCTTTCTCCCAAATTGTCTGTAAGATTGATCAGGTTAGATTAGGAAAAAAAACAGCATGGCCCAATCAAACATTCTCTGTAAAATCAGTTAACAAGTTGCAGGTTTCATTCTTTACAGTTATATCATTAACATACATTGCACAACCACACATCCCATTCCAGTGCTGAACATAGGAATTGTGCAGAGGATTGCAGCCTGAGACAAGCCTTCTTCAGCTGTTAGAAAGTGGTAAAAATGCTTCAGCCTTGCTGGCCCTAGCCAGAAGGACAGGAAGGCACAAATTGGAAAACAATTAGTGGATGAGAACTTTCAGTATACATTCCAATAGAACCTAGTGGGAATCTGGTAGCACTTTTTCCAGCTAACATCTGATGAAATGAACTGCACCTTACAAAAGCTTATGCCTTTTAATAAAATTGGTTAGTCAGAAAAGATGCTACCAAGCTCCCTCTGATTTTTTGTCACCATAGACCAATACGGCTCTCCTTCTACAATAGCATCTAGAGGCTTTTCATCCAAGCATGGTAAGATTGTTACAAAATCAGTACAGAAAGCAGACTTAGTCTAATATTTTATTGCAGTTCTATGTCTCATCCTTTGGTAATGAATGTGTTCATAGCTGCACTGTATGAACACATCCTACAATATTAATGTATTGATATGTCTATATTTTATTTCTCCATGGTAAAGGGAATTAGACAGCAAAATGAATCATGCTGTAAAAACCTGCAATTTTGTGATAACGGGTTTCTGATCAGCTCTCTCTTTCTTTACAATAGCCTTTTGTTGTTGAATAAAAATGAGTACCCTTGACTTGGAGCCCCTTCAAAAGTCATGGCTATCAGTCTAACGAGTTCTGCAGATGGTTTTAGTTGCCATTCCCTCCTTGCTTCCAGCTAAAAACTTTCTGTGCTTCTGCAGCAGCTGCTTCCAGATGGAAGGAGACATGCAGAGCACAATGGCTCCCCTAAGGAAAAGTGCAGTCTTGAAAATAATAACAGTATGGCAGATAATTTTGCAGCATGACCCAGGGTTTCCCATCAGTTTTTCTATCACTCAGCAAAGCAAAAGCCATTTTTAAAAATTGTAACAATATATTATTGAGATTATATATGTGTGTGTGTGTATTTTATCTATGTGTATATATGTCTGTGTGTGTGTGTGTATCTCCAAACCTTCTGTGTCTGGTACTGGCAAATAAGAATGCCATAAATTCCTCCCTGCAGGGACTAGTGCTTGTGAAGATCTTGACTGTAAAAGTGATTTTGAAGTAGGCTGCAGCCTTAATCTCACTTACATCAGATAAACTTTCATGATTCCAGAGGGATTTTCTTATGAAAATGTTTTTAGAATTTAAACTGACTATTATCATAAGCTACTTATTTCAGTGAAATTTTTGTTGAAATCAATTGAGCTTTCTTTTAAATAAGTGGCGGGCTGAGAGCTGGATCAGAGAATAATCACATTTCACTGAATGTGGATACTATTTATTCCTACATGCATACATGCTCCAGAATTTAGAAATAATCCTCTTTCCAATATTTAGTACCTTTTTCTGCAAATTACACTGTCTTTAATAAGGAGAAAAGAGAAACTTATCTATGGTTAAATGATAAAAAATACTTTTTCTTTTTATTAGTATCAGATGCTCATCCTGAAATTGGTCTTTTTCCCCCCTTTTTCTGCTTTTTTTTCTTTTCTTATGGGCTGAGATCAAGCTCATCTGAGGATACAGCAAAGCATAGCACAGAACATATTTTGTAGTATTATTTTAGACTTCAACTTCTTTTTAATAGTAATTTTATTAAAAATTACACTTACAATGGTAAAAAACTAATACAAACTAAAAAAAGAAAAGAAAAAAAGGTTCAGAAAAAATAGAAAATAGAAAATAATAGAAAATAAGAATATAAATAAGAAAATAAAATAATATGGTAAAGAAAAAGAAATATGTAAAGAAATAACTTCCCCCTTCATTACAACAAGTATAAACAATTTTAGTAATATATCACCTTCTCTTAAAATACAACAAATGATCTTCCCATATCCCATCTCTTATCTGTAAACAAATCCTCATCATTTCAGTCCTGATCAGCAAAAATCCATTAAGGGTTACCAGAGAAAACATATCTATTTTAACCTTGATCAAATAAACCAACTTTGTATACCTTCCTTTTACTTTTAACAATCTTGATGTTTAGTCTCTTCAAATAATGTTCTAGAACTTGATTTCTTTTCATTTTCTCACAAAATTCTTCAAAGCTTTAACCAGCCTGTTTTGTAAATCCAATATAGGAAAATTATCCAGGTCACTTTCTTGGTTTATTATTTGTAAATCCCTTTTAATTATTAAGACATCAGCTGGTTTCTTTTGTATGTCCAGTGTAGCATCTTTTTCCATATCTTTCTTGTAAATTGTCATTTTTAAA